ATGCATGTCTACGAGAAAACCATGCAGAATGCTATGAAAGCATTCAGTTTTTCAAAATGTCTTGAAACTTTGCATACTAAGTGAGATCAAGGCCACTTTAATTTACTTACTGGCTAAGTTTGGTGACATCATTTGATTGGTTACCTTGTATACAGGGATAATTAGTTTATTGGCGGGAAATCTCTATAATACCCACCATTGAAAAATCTTGTATCAGTCAAAAACAATATATTTAAAAATGGCTGTCGCTTATAGAGACAAAATGGTTACATTATCGATATCATGTAATGCTTCATTGTTAGACTACCAAAATAGGAAAAAGGTGTGTCAGTTACCTTTGACTTTTTAAAAAATAAAAAAAAAAATAAAAAGGGGAGGCAGTCCTCAAGTGCCTGTGCTTTAAGTCACCTTTGAAGGTAAATTGTTTTATTTTTTAGCTCACCTCAATGAAGTTGAGATGAGCTTATGCTATACCCCTGGCATCGGCATCAACGTTGGTGTCCCAGTTAAAGTTTTTGGAGCAGGTCCATTCCCAATTTAGTAACTATAAGCCCTACCAGGACCAAACTTGCATTGGTGTTGCATCTAGGGATGGACGCTACCAGACAATTGCTTCTGATGCTCTAATCTGACCTACATTTTCCAGAAAAGTGACCAGGTTCAAGTTTTTGGAGCAGATCCATTCCCAAGTAACTACCGGTATAAGCCCTACCTGGAACAAACTTGCGTGGATGATGCATCAAGGAATGGACACTACCAGACAATTGCTTCTGATGCTCTAATCTGACCTACATTTTCCAGAAAAGTGACCAGGTTCAAGTTTTTGGAGCAGGTCCATTCCCATTAACTATAAGCCCTACTTGGAACAAACTTGCATGGATGATGCATCAAGGGATGGACACTACCAGAAAATTGCTTCCCTTACAGAAATTTCTGATAAGTGACTTATAAGTGATTTATTCTTTTACTTATAAGTTGTTTATTCTGGACTTACACTTCACTGATACATTTAACTTATAAGTGACTAATATATTACTCATTAGGATTTTATATGCAAATGAGCTGCTTGACCTATAAGTGACTTATAAGCAAGTATTAGCCACTTATGCTTTATGCAAGTATAGTCACTTATAAGTGACTATAAGTGACTTATAAGTCAAGCATTAACCCTTCATACTTTATCAAGTATTAGTCATCTATAAGTCACTTATAAGTGAAGTACAACACTACCTGTAAGATCTTAATTTAGAACAGAACTTCCAACCATGCAGGGGTTGCATGATATGTTCAAAGCTATTTTTTACATATATACATGTATCTGCACTTAAGATGAAATAATCAAGTAAAAATTTTATGGAAAAAAATCACTTTCATATGACATTTCTTTGATGATGCAAACTTAACATATTAATTCAGTTTACAAACAAAAATGTTGAACAAAAAGGCAACAAGATTTAATGACCTTGAGGCTTCTTCAAATTTATGAAATCTGAAGCAGCTGAGTCAATTGATTCAAAATTTCAGGCAAAGGTAGTTAAAATAGAGAGATTATGTAAATAGAACCTACTTGTTGTACCTGATGGGAAGGCATACTCAAAATAAATCTAAAATCTCCAACATCCTTTCACAGACACAAACTTGGTTTCAAATTCTTGTTGCTGATCTCTGCAGAGACAAACTTTCTGATTGGCTAACTTGAATACCCATAATGCTCCTTGAGAGAAGTCTAGTATAGGGTAAAAATTCTAAGTCCACACTTATTCTTCGCTCATACCATACTGATCTTCACTTATAAGCGAGGTACAAGTGAAATATTCACTGATATGTAGCTCATCTTTACTTATAAGTGAAGTATTAATGAAATTCGTTCCTCATTTATACTTACTTTGACTTATAGTACACTTATAAGTAAATTTCAAAATTTATAAGTGACTTATGAGTTGCTAATAAGTGGATTATAAAACACTTATAAGTTTCTATTAGTTTTTTCTGTAAGGGTTCTGATGCTGTAATCTGACCTACATTTTCCAGAAAAGTGACCAGGTTCAAGTTTTTGGAGCAGGTCCATTCCCAAGTAACTATAAGCCCTACCAGGAACAAACTTGCATGGATGATGCATCAAGGAATGGACACTACCAGACTTGCTTCAGATGCTGGATCTGACCTAGCTTCTGGAACAGGTCAAATCCCTAATGAACTTTAAGACCTATTTTAACAGAACTTGCTTGAATATTGTTGTCAGGATAAATACTGACTGTTAAAAAAATATGATGTGAGATCTGCATTGACTTAAGCTGATAACATTTGTCGAGAAGAGCTTCGTAATCTTTGATTATCTATGTTTTATTAGATAGAAAATAAAATGATAGGAAAATATTTACTTTTCCAATGTCTTTGTCCGAGATAAAATTACAAAAAGTACAAAAAGTAAAATTGTACTTTATTTCTACCTAACTGTACTAGTTCATCTCTAGGCCTGGTTAAAAAATCACATATTTGGCGGAACAAATAGAGACAAAAGCAGGGAGTGCTGTAGCATGTGAATTTGTGGAATCAAGAGCATGTAAATATAAGGAATAACTGTCAGATTTTTTGATTTCATGATGATGGTCAATGGATTGGCTTGGACATTCCTTCTTTAAGGTGTAAAAAGGTGCAACTGTATCACATTACAAAAGTCAACGTCATTTAAATATGGGCAAATGGATGTTTGAGGTCAATTAAAATAGTCACTTGTCAGGAAAAAGTACATGTATATTTATCAGATCAAACATCCAAAGCAAAGCTAGCAGAGTACATCCCTAGCATGCATAATCCATGCCAATCATCACATTACATAGGAATGGAGCGCAAAGCGATGCTCGTCATTGTGAGCTCTTAAAGCAACGCTTGGGCGAAGAGAAAATTCAGACTACTGCACATTCATTTGACAGAATTTTTTGACGCAGTAATTTGGACCCACAATGCATAGCTTCGTACACAAAGCTAAAGCAATATTCTCGCGAGAATAAGAACAAAAAAGTAAAACAAATATATAATAAACTTGCCTTAATTTTATGAATAAGTTGCAGAAAAATAGTCAATAAAACAATTCTTCATTTAAAATCAGCCCTGTTCAGGATTCGGTTTGATAATGCAGCATGCATACAACATCATATGACGTCAAAGTCTTAGACACTCCGAATGTCACGTGCGGTTAGATGAGCCCGATCTAAATGAAAACTGGATCTGCGCTCGCCCTAATGGTCGCACCGTCAACATATTAGTTATGTTCTGCCAAGAGCAACTTTTTAGTACCTTGTAGATCTTTTAAATGGCTTTGAAATGTCATATCAAAATCCTGGGAAAGCTTTGCTGCCCCTGTGATAATTTTGTCTGGTGGTATACTAAAATCTGGCATTTCATTGTATCTTAATAATGGATTTGTCTCAGGCGTATCATCAGGAATATCAGGTAATCTGATAAGTAAAGAATAAAATAACAGTTTGAAAGTTAGTTTAAAGCAGAGGAAATTTTAAAATTAATAGCATACCAATCTTGTCAACAACTGCAGCCACAAAATGTTACTTGGTTGAACCAGGCTATCTTCAAATAACACTTAGACAGTGTCAATTCAAGAAAATTTACTTACAAAAGGCTGTATATACGTTACAACAGTTTAGTTGTGGAAGCAGTAAAAGAATATATGTACCCATTGGCTTATGATGCGAGGAAATTCGAACTGATGACCTATATGCATTATGAAACAGTGTATCACTCTTTTTCTCCAAAGAATACTATTTGTGTTAACCGTTAACTTACAACAGATGGAATCCTGACATTGTGTAGTTTATGTTGATCAATCGACGTTGGATGTGTGCTATACATGGTATAAACAACCTTTTTCCGTGCCGACTGATCATCATGGAAGCAGACATCTTGGAAATCTTCAGTATAACGAGCCCGATTTAATTTAAAAATAAATCAATGTGAGTCTTTCCTTTTTATTGCTATGTTTCATGGCGATTTGTTACTTATCAAAAAGCATTTTGTGTGCTCTTTTGTTATATTTCTGCAATAATTGCAAATTACTATAAACAGCACTACAATTAATCTACATTTCACTTGAAAAACATAATTCTCTACCGTGAAAAAAAAGTTCCCTTGATCAAATTTTAAACATTTTCTTTTCATAATTTAATGTAGTTTAACTGCATTATTTCTATCTGATTTATATACTGACAGGTGGAATCCTGATAAAATATTCGTTTACTTTTAATTCCTCTACTTCAATTCATTAAACAAGAGGTATAATTGGACTGCACAAAAAACTTATTATCAATTTGTTGCACACGTTTATTCTCAAAAATACTTTTAGACTATTTAATTCAAGTTTGCCTTTTCATAATACATTAGAACTGTACATAAATTATCCTTTACTTTTCCATGAAAGAAAGTTCAATCGATATATTCACAACAAGAATTTCCTCTTTATCCTAGAGTTAAAATCAATGACCACTTTCAAAACTAGCAATTTCTGGGATTTTCAGCATAAAATTAGATTTGTTTCTTGATTTTGTTGTGTTTGCTGAATTCAACAACTTAGAAACTAACAAAATTAAAAATCCATACGTCATCTTAATAATGATTTCAACAGAAAACATAAATCAAAATTGTCCTAAACCAAACTGATGGTTGGACCAAATTGAGAAATAAAGGGATCAAGTTTAAAATTAATGCAAACACTAGTATTTGTTCAAATGTCCTTTCATGTAAAGTTTTTTTAAAAATCTGAAAATTCTAGTTTCCCAATTCAGCAACCACAGCCAAAATCAGCAACATTTCTAATTCAATCTAATCAAAATTAGATGTTCCGAATCTGCTACCATTTCTTAAACGAATGTTATGAGAAGCGGTAGCGGATTCGGAACATCTAATTTTAATTAGATTGTTCTGAATTCAGAGTTTTTATGGCTACTTTGTCCTTTAATATTCATTAAATTTATTCAGACAAAAGACAATTAAACTATAACAATGGTTTTAATTAACATATATACATAAGAACAATCAGGATTTGTGTTTTTTCTTTTTGAATTTTTTCCGCACTCCCAGGGCTTCCTCTGTGTCGTCAGCTTCTTCGTCGTCATTCTTACGCTTCTTTCTTCCTCGTTCTGTCTCATTCATTTCCTGAAAAATAACAGCATTCTTTAATGTTCATAGACATAAAAATTTATTTAAAGAAATTTGTAATGTTACTTTTATTATCAAATAATTATTCTAATGCACATTTAAAGCCTAAATACTCATGACAATCAATAATACATGTGCACACTTCCAATATCCATAATGCTCTACTTCAGTTTTTACAAGTACTGTATAAAACCTTCATCAATGTATGACCCCATTTTGCCACCCACCATTTTGGCGAATCTCTGTGCCTCCGTTACTCGTTCCATCAGTTGCATCACTTCCTCTTCCTCTGTTTTATACAGCGGCAGCTTCTTACCGATCAGGTGTTCTATCCTCTGGTACAGCTCCACATCATACCTACAGATCAGTTATAATTCATCAGTACCCCCATCATGATTTATTAGAATTTACCAGGTGCATGCAAACATGTACCAGAAATGGCTAATCAGCAATTACATGTTCATGCCTACTTCATGGTAAATAAATCTATGTGAAAGAATTTACAATAACAAATGGTCTGTTTATTGCAACATCTTGTAGTACATGACTGTACCATTTTTTATATTGTGAAACATTCAAATCATGTACATGCAGTATGTGGATGCTATGATAGATGGTAATAATTTGATATCTTAAAATTGTGACAAATACAAGCGCAACATGCTATAAACTTACTGTGAAACAAAGGTGATGGCGACCCCAGAACGGCCAGCTCTTGCTGTTCTACCAACTCGGTGGATGTAGTCTTTAGAATGTGTTGGGATGTCAAGGTTCAAAACAACATCAACATGTGGTATGTCAAGACCTCTGAGTGAAATGAAAATATGTTTTCAATAAATGACATCTGATTTTTAAAAAAATATATTGTAATGTCCCTTTTATTCATTGTATTCATGAAGTTCGTCTGATTCATTTCTCCAGTTCATAATGAAACAAACCTGCTTGCTACATCTGTGGCAATAAGAATGGATCTGTTTTTGCTCTTGAATTTATTCAAAGCTCCAAGTCGTTTCGACTGAAAAAATTTATTACAAATACATGTACATGAATTATGTTATGGTTTTGTAAAAATGAAAACAACAGTATACTGAAAGTATTAGACTAGTATTCATGAACAGTAGGTAAAATAAGTAAGAAAATGGTTTATTATAGTGACATGTGATTTACAAATGCATTGAGAAGCATATATCATAGTAAAGAAAATGTTAAAAAATTACCTGGCTCATTTGTCCATGGAGTGGAATTGCAGTAAGTCCCAAGTTGCGTAACATTAGTGCCACTCTCTGTGTGTTAGCGCAGGTACTACAGAACACCATGAAGGAGTTACCAGCCAACTCATTCAAAATGTACACCAAGTAGACATCCTGAAATGATAGAGTATTAACATGTGTATTGTATTTCCACATTAATATGCGTGAGGATTAAAACAAATCTGAATTGTCTTTGTAAGGAATCTTCTATTTGTGTTTAAGCAGTTTTGTTATTTCTTGCTTAGAGGTTTCTGAAAAGGAGATGATTCGAAAATGTCTCATGTCTATTTGATTTCATTATCTCTCCTTGAAAAGAAGAATGTCTCTTCATTTCAACAAATTTTAATTCTCATCAACCGGGGGTGCTTTGTACATGGAGGTGTTTGACTTATTGTTTCAAGAGGAAAAATTGAAAATGAGTAAAAAAGAAAAACATAAAGCAAGTAAATAACAACAGGTAACTCTAAAATATATACCTTGAATTTCACAGGTATAAAAAGGTAGTACTGTTGGAGTTTGTCCACTGTTTGGTATTTTGATGATACTTCAACTCTCACTGGGTTCTGCAGAGATGCCCTTTGTAATTTTGCAACCTTGTTCACAGAACAAACAAACAAAACATTGTTCAAATATAGAGATGTCATTTTTACATACTAACTTTTAATGAATATATATGTACATGTACACAAAGACAATTCTCAAATGTTACATGGAAAGAAATTTTTACATTTTAAAACATCTTTGTGCTAGAGCTTAGAGAGGACATCAAATGACAAATAATGAACAGAAAGTTGACTTCAACGTGAGCCAGGATTTCATCAAAATACCGTACCTTTTTTGTCATTGTGGCAGAAAACAGCAGAGTTCTTCTCTCTCTTGGTATAACTTTCAGGATTTTATCAACCTGTAATATAAGTCACGAGTTAGAAATAATTCATACTGAAATGACAACACAATAAAAGAAATACAGTTTTAAAAAGTACTGCATGCTTTACTTCAGATTCTTATGGGATGTATTTTCTCAGTAATCATTTACCTCTTGTTCAAAATCCATATTGAGAATTCTATCAGCTTCATCCATGACCTATTGAAAAAAAGTTAAAAAGTTAAAAAGTACTGATAAGATAAATTACAGAAAGGAAACGCTTTTGAAGTGAACATACAGGGGTATTTGTTACTACCAGGCATTTAAATGGTACGTATAGTATGCTATGTATAATACATATATTATATGGAAAATCTACCGGTAATGATTTTTCTTACCAAATATTTGAGAGACCTTAAGTTGAATCCCTTTGTATTTTCTAGGTGGTCAACTAATCTTCCTGGGGTTGCTGTTGGGGAAAGTATACATAAAATCAATTTTTTTTTATCAAAATCAAGCAATATATACATAAAAATTCGATCATGAAATACTAGTGCTAATGAAATTATTTAGACAGTCATGTATCATTATTAATGTTTCTATTAAAATAATACGTCCCTTCAGATTTGATTTATTTATAAATGAATTCTAACAACTTCAACATCATTTGTCTCAGAAAATCTAAAAGCAATATTTAAATTGCAGTATTTTATTATCTTTCATGCAAAAAATTAACAACTTTTACAATTATCCAAACATTCTTTTCTATAAAACAGTTCTTACCTATGACAACATGAGGTTTTTTAGCCAGCATTAGAGCTTGTGTCATCATATCAATTCCCCCGACAATCACAGCTGAAGAGAAAAACACAGTTAATGTCAATACATACTGTATATGTAAGTTACCTATATCTTAATCTTCAGTGTAAAATGATCAATTCCTAGATATTTGATGCCTTTGCCATCGAAAGCACCCAAACAATGCATGCAAGTAAAGAAGGTATATGGCCTTTTTTTAACCTGAATCTTGAACTAACTGTATAAGTTAACAAATTTCTACTGACCACATTTGATTCCAATTGATGCCCCAAGAGCCTCGAACTGTTCAGAAATTTGGAAAGCCAGCTCTCTTGTAGGAGTAAGGACAAGAGCATAGAGTCTCTGGGGGTTATCAAGCAGTGTCTGTAAAATGGGTAAGGCAAATGCTCCTGTTTTTCCTGAACCAGTCTCTGCTAATCCAATGACATCTGAACCTGTTATAAATATATGTATATATTCCTTATGTAAAAGAAATCCTTGCAACAGAATTTTACTATTCATTCAAATGTTAAGGTTACTGAACTTGAAAATTTAATGACCAAGTGGTTAACTGACTAAAAGACTTTCTGTGTTCATAAAAAATAATTAGGACTTAGAATACAATAATTGTGAATTAATATAAATAAAATCATAATTAAATATTTGATTTACACATTTACTTCTAAACAAATGTTCAAGATGGGTAAACAAATAATAACAGTTTTTGTCATATCATTGCACAGATTGCAGTCTTGATTAAAGTATTTCTTTAAAGTGTCCAATCTCTAAGTAAATAACCCTAGAAATAAAAACGTTTACTTTTCCCAAGCCTCAAATTTGCTTAATATATTTTACTCATATTGACACATTGCAATCTGCAACTTTTTACCCAACTTTTAGTTTTAATATAATTACTGTACCTTGCAAAGCAACTGGAAGAGCTTCTCTCTGGATTTTTGTTGGGGCTTTCCATTTTAATTGTTCACAGGCCTCACAGAGAACATCAACAATGCCCTGCAATAAAGAATGATTACTTGAAAGACTACAATCATTTGGGCTGAATTTTACCTTTGAAAGGTCAGATTAGAAACAAGAATTTTATTGTGATAAGGAGTTACAGGGATGTCAAAAGTGAAAGTTGAAGTGGACAGGACATTTAACCTATTCTGATCATAAAAAATGGTCAAAATTTGGGTGAGATTTCCCAAATCACTTTGTGTAGTACATGTACTGGTCTGAGATTTGAAGAGACATCGGTTCAATTTTTCAAGTCTCAACAAATATTTACTGTAGTCTCACTCAAGACAAAAACAGAATATTATAGATGTTTTAAAATTTATGGTTTGCAAATATGGAATGAATTGCATAATTTTTTTAAAGAGTTATCCATCATTACCAAGTTTTAAATCTGCATGTAAGAAATTACTTCCAGTCTACAAACTAAAATGTACATCCAAATGATTATGTACAGAATTAGATGCAAGGTTTACATGACCTGTGTCAACATTAGCTTTATTAGGGCCAATTTCATTTGTCACTGATTGGCGTACGCCGAATTGCGACGGTCATATGACCGGCGTAAAACGGCTAAGAGGCAAATGAAATAAACCGGCGAAAACATTTTTTAAAATGAATAATTACGCTAAATGATGACCAGTTAATTAAGTTTAATCACTTTTTACATTATGTCTTAGTAGAATAATTCGAAATTCAATTTAAAATAAACCCATGGACCTCATGAAAAATGTTATTTTTTTTTTAAATAAAAACATATTCTAAATATATGAATAGAGATTTGCTCAAAATATGCAACAAATAAAGAACATGTCGATTTGGTGAAAAGTATCTGCATTTTCACAGTTATTTTCTCTTCCCGCCATATTTCTAAGACCGGCCATTTCCTCGCCAGTCATTTCAGACCGGCGCATTCGGCGTACGCCGGTGAACCTTCCCCGGTCAAATGAAGTAACAAGCCGGGTTACAAAAGGTCAAGCGGCGCATTCGGCGTACGCCGGTATAACAAATGAAATCCTACCTTAGTCTACTCGCTTAATCTAATAGTCTGCTTCAAATACGTCACTCTACTACTATTACCAATAGAAATGAACCATAGTATGAAGTATTTGAAGCAGATAATTCCTGGAACTCTTCAGCATCTGAGGTTTAAAAGAATAGCTTATTGTTATGAAAAATAAACAGCTTTGATTTAAACTTTTTAAAGATAAGATACGAAAGTTTTATAGTGATAGAGACTTAAGAGGATAAAGTTGAAGCAGGCAGCTAATTCATTTCAGCCCGCATCAAATGAAACAAGCAGTTGAAGTCCGGGCATGAAACACCAAATGAGGTAATGTGACTGACATTGCTCTGTGTTTTAGTAGAGACATCTGTCCAAAATTTTTTGTCTCAACGAATCTCACTGAGATTAGACCACAATGTAAATAGTTTTGTAAACTACTCGTGCTATCATGAATAAATAAAGGAGTAAGGGCATTAAAATTATTTCACTGAGATTGAATTTAGGAGGTCATGATTTACAACTTTGTTTTGTGTACTAGCCTTGTAACTATGAAAAAAATCAATTATCTTCTAAATTACCAGTGACTTAAAAGTCACGATCTCTGTCTCTTCAGCTTCTGTGGGATTTGTTTCTTCTGTTTTCTTCTCACTCGTGTTCATTTTTCCAGATCAATGTTAACAAACAACTTGCATATTGTAGTAAAAAATGCTATGAAGATAAAACGCATTTGAGACTTCGAATTCGATATTAACTCGTACGCATTGCAATATCGTCTTCGTTATATGTGCGTTTGATATTGTTTCGTTTGAGCGTTATAAAGAAAAGTAAATGTTTGACATAGACAAAACGTTTTCTGAACATGGCAAAGCATCACCCTGATCTTATTTTCTGCAGAAAACAGCCTGGCGTAGGTATGTTATGTGGGGAAAGTATTTTTGTTGTATAAATAACTTTGTTGTCTTTTACTTTAGCCATTTCTATCATAAATTATTTCATAATCTAGAGTACTTCGTGCTGCATGGCGTGCCTGAGATTTCAATTTGTTCTTGTTTTGCATCCCATCGAGAAATTTTCTCTTATATTGAGAGGTCATACTGAGAAGTCACCACTTGTAATGGAGGGCTTCAAATTTATACCACTACTCCGTAGGTCTTCTCCATCTTAATTAAAATATACATAAACAAATGCAAACAATTTATCTGAATATTAATTTCTTATCTTATAGCACATAGCAGTCTAGTCGAACTATGTGAAGTAGAGAACAGAGTGGATAAGATGCCCCTGTGGTCGAACCCTCAAACGGGGGTATACCCCCAAACGAGGGTTTTCCTTCCCTTAATGCAACGCGCGAAAGTCAAGAACGATAACTCTTCTTATTTAAAAAATATATATTTTTTTAAAAATCACAAAATTGCAAAAATGATTCGTCTACACCTTTGTTTTCAATTTAAAAAAATAATAAATTACATTTCGTTTTTAATTACCTCATTTCTGAAGCACAAAAGTTTGTTTACAGGACAGGAAATTCTGACGGGCACAGAAGAAAGTGTCGAAAAATAATTAATAACATGTTCATTACACAAAATTTGTAATACCGGGGAACGGAATTATATGTAGTTTAACTTTAAACAAAACATTGTTTGTTTATTCATCCGTTTTTATTAAATTATGCATAAAAAATCTATTTGTATCAAACCTGGTGGTTAAGGCACAGGTAGCCCATTTCCTCTAACTCTGATGTTATGGTTCTTCTCCATGTTGTTCGTGGTCTACCTCGCTTCCTTTGGGAGAGAAAAAGTCTCGATTTTTGCAATAAACATATATTTTTTCGCAATAAAATCTCTTTAAACATCTTTAATCTATCAAATTTGAGTACATACACAGCTACGAAATAATCCATCACTTTGCACGAGCATATTTTGTGGACCACACATTTTTCCGTGAAAACGGCACTTTTTTGAGTGTCTGCGCATGCGCGTACCCCCGTTTGAAGGTACGGATTTCCTACTTCCGTTTACCCCCGTTTGAGGGTTCGACTAGACTGCATAGTATCTTAGTTTAATAGAATAATGTAACTGTGACGCAACATGATAAATACCCTATTTTTTGATACAGTGACACTTATCCATCATCAGTGTGACTGTATCAAGAAATTTGGAGCTCACCATGTTGCTCCGTTCCTTCGTTGGCCACAAAATGCAAGTAAAGCAGAAAGTAGGTAAAAATAGCTACTTTGGGTAGGTTTAAATACCTACGTAGCTATTAATAGCTACGTAGATAGAAGTAGTCTTTGGACTGGACCTGTTAAATACATGTATTTGTGTCAAAAGTGACATGTGTTGTTTATTCTGCAAATATACAAGGTTCAGACTAGTACATACACAATTTTCTCTGAGCAAAAGGTGATATTTATTTCCTCTCACTTTCTAAATTGTTTTCTTCTTCTTTTTCATTGAAAATTATTTTCTTTAAATATTGTCAAATATTTGTTTATAATTGCTATGTTTTCTTTTCCAGCTATTGGTAGACTGTGTGAAAAATGTAAGTTTTCATTTGCATTGTAATTACTAAAAGTTTAAAAGAATAATACTTCAAACATCATAATATGTAATTTAATATTGAAGATTTTGTACTTGGAAACAAGAAGAAATTGTTGTTAACAGTTTTCCAAAAATGCATTTGTTTTGCAGGTGACGGTAAATGTGTAATATGTGATTCCTACGTCAGACCATGCACACTGGTACGGATCTGTGATGAGTGTAATTACGGCTCGTACCAGGGTCGCTGTGTGATCTGTGGAGGGCCGGGCGTGTCAGATGCTTACTACTGCAAGGAGTGTACCATTATGGAGAAAGATGTGAGTATATACAGACAATTGTTTATACAGATATTTGTTTTTAAAAGGCAGTTGAAATTCTGTATCTTGAACATTGAAATTGCAGTAATCATGAATGCGTCATGGTGAGGTGGAAATCTCAATCTCTTTTTCTTCAACAAACAGTCAAATCTTGTTTATTTAAAACTTGATGCCACTAAGAAAAAAAAAACTGAGATATAAGACGATTTGATATATTGAAGGTATAATAATTAAAGAAATTGTGATTAGGACTTCCAGTTCACTTTGACACATTCATGATGTTGGTGTTGCAGATATCAAATTCAACTACATTTTAACATTGATATCTCAGTTTCTTTCTTGGTCTAATCAGGTTCAAAATCAGTTGACTGCAATTTGTAATACATGTACATTGAAATCGATATAGATTATAAAATGAATCAGTTTACTTTGTCTTTTAGAGGGATGGATGTCCAAAGATTGTGAATTTAGGAAGTGCAAAGACAGATCTGTTTTATGAAAGAAAGAAATATGGATTCAAGAAGAGATGAGAACTGTTGTTGTTGTGTGGGAAATTATCAAATGACAGAGACATCAGAAAATCATTCTTTGTGAATTGTGAGCAAATTTTATGTGTGAAAAACTTGGTGCAAGCATTGGTCTGCCAGTTGAAAGTGCAAATGGTTACTCATCAGCAGTTTTGTATTTCATTTAAATATCATAGTCTTAATTATTTTATCATTCTCTACTTTCAGTAGGAATTCAAGACATTATATACATTGTTTTTATTCCATTATTAGTTAATTTGTACAACAGGAAAAAATATCATGTTGATATTCTAAGAATTGCCAATTATAAATTAACAATGAGTTCTATTCAAGCTAGGATTATACTGATGTGCCATTGGCATGTTATTTTAATTTTGCATTCCAAACACTGCCAGGCAATTTCATAAAAGCATCTTTCAATAAAAGAAAATCATGAGAAGTTTTTTTTCTCTGCAGAGTTGTGTCCTCTTTAATAGGGAGGTGCATGTAAATTGAAAACGTAGAAATACAGGTATCAGTTAGGTTGATAATTATCAACATTTCTCTAAAGATGGAGGAACCATTGACAATCACAGTCTATGACAGTCACAATTGACAAGTTTCATGAAAGTCTTTTGTAATATTCAAAAGTGGAAACAAACACCTTAGTGGCAAAATAATGGACTTAAAATCACAATTTAGATTATAATCTTCATAGAGTCTCTAAGCTGATGTGACAAATTTTGCTGGCATTCATCTAGTGTAAATTTATTTCTTTAAATTCATGAAGCACAATTTGTTGTTTTAGCTCACCAGAGTTTGAGGCCCAAATGAGCTTTTCTGACCAAGCAGATCTTGATTATTTATGTCCATATTTAGAGCAGATCCAGGGATCATTCAAGAATTAAACAGAAGAGTGGAGGGGTTAACAGTCAACACTTTTATTTATAAGCTGCTTTCCGTCTTGTAAATGACTTTTCCTATTAACTATCCAAATAGGGGTCTGTATTTCATTTCCAAGGGGGTCCAAGGTTTCTTAACCATCAGGTATATAAATTTATACCTTTGAATACCTCAAAGGATTCTTTTCTCCTCCATGGGGAGATATTAGAGAAAATGTATGGGAGGTGTATGTTCATGTAGTAGTATGTGGAAATATAGAGTTTATGAAAGTTTACTGGCATTTCTTTATGAAAAATATGTTCTTTACAAAAAATCTATATTATGACTCAAATATTGAATGCCACATAGGTATAAGCTTTCCCAACTTTTTAGAGGTGACATAAACTTCAACCAAAAAGTTGCCTTTCATTTTAAATATTTACTGTACAATATTATATATACGTACATAACAACAGCATAAAACATCAATAAATATTAATTTAATTTAAAACTAGAGGTACTGTGAGCAATGAGCTCACTAAATGATACCCCCCGCCTCCCATATGAATATAATGGCAGTGTCCATGTTTTGCTCTGGAAAATCAAAAATATATGTCAGATCAAAAAGTAAAATAGGAGGTGCATAATGGCAATATGTAATTAAGAATCTGTGAAAGTTTCATTAAATTTCCTTCAGTGGTATGAGAGGAGTTGCGGATAAGAGATGGGTATCCCAAAGCGTAACAGACGGACGGACAGACGTACAGACGGACGGACGGAAATACCGATTACTATATACCCTCCCACTTTTCAAGCGGGGGGTATAAAAAATAAGACTTAAAATACACAATTTTAGAGATTCTTTGGAATGATAATTCACTTGGAAAGTATGTCTGCAAAAAACAAATTATTGCTTGGATAATTTTTCATGGATAAATAATAATTAACAAAGCTGTAATACATAAGAGACAAATTATTTATGACATGTTTATCGGCTTTCTAAATAGTTTGACCAACATTCATTTCCATTTATGAACTGCATACACTTGTATAAAAGAAAGAAAACCAAAAAGGAGGGAAACAAAGCTAACACAACAATAAATAATACACATAACAATACATAGACAATATCAAATATCTCAATACAAGATGTATCTGAAAAATATGCATCTGATGACTAGAGACTTTAAGCTTCTTTTGGACCCCATTTAAAACTAGCACATGCAGAGCTTTAATTTCTGGTAATACTGAAACATATACAGGGCTTTCAAAAAGATTTGAACCAGGTGGTACAAAAATAGGAGGTACCACTTGGCAAACGCCGAAGGCGTGAGCCTGCTAGGGGGGTTCGGGGGCATGCCCCCCCGGAAAAATTTTGAAATTTAGAAGCCACGAGACAGCATTTCCTGGTTTCTAGACACATAGAAGTATGCTGCTATCAGTGTTATTTTTATGCCATGTTTCAAAGTTTATTTTTGGTCAATACACATTACATGTGAAGTTTAGCACTGGATGGGTGGAATTACATAGAAAAAATTAGTTATTTGAGCAGAGTAAGAAAAAGATTTAGGTTAAACTTCTAAGTTCTATGCTATATTTGTTTATATAAATGTGTTCAAAAAATGTTTGCAAGGATTGAGTTGTAAGTGTTATGTTTTAAATATGAAAAAAATTATTGAGTCACGAAAGGAAATGGAAATTCAAAATTTAAATTTATTAAAAGAGAAATGAAATTGTATTTGCATTAAATTAAATTCATTTCTGTTTTACAGTAAAGTGCAGATTTAAAAAAAAAATTTAGAAGCACTGCATGATGCATAGCATGTACCAATAAATTCAGCATATTTTTTTTATGCACTGGTACATGTACATATAAAATAATATACATGTGTAAATTAGACAAAGATGACATCAAGACTGGAGACAAAAAAAGATTAAGATATGACTCCCTCACTTTACTGGATATGGTTACAATATTGGGAAGAAAGTAAACGTCCGCAAGGTCATTCTCTTGACCACTAGAAAACTGCTGAATCAAAGAATTAAATGTGTGGCAAAAGAAATAGTTTCCGTTTTATGTCCTTTTGTTTCATCAGAAAGTTGCAGATATTCAAGACTGTAAGTAATTTATATCGTCAGCTGCGGATTTTGACACTTAAATTTGAAGAGTTGAGGCTATTAAAATGTACAGAGGTGGTCAAAGAACTATCTACTGTTCATGTCCGTCTCTCTATCGGTCAATTGTGTTGAAGACTTTCCGTGGTCTAGTTCCTTGTATCTTAAAATCTTTTGTGAAACTCATTACCATGGCTTTAAATTGACACTCTCATTTCTCACACCTGGATTCTTATTTTTCATTTTTTGGGCCGTATTTATTTAAAATATATTCCTAGTCATTAGCTTTTGTCAAAATCAGTGACGGTGGCATTTGATATCGAAATCTACTTTCGTTTTCGACAAGATCTGTAAGACGCGTTACGCAATCTCTTTTGTTTCATTTATTCAAACGCTTTAATGATCTTCTTGACTAACCAATCAAAAACGTTATTAGATACCATTACGGACTAAAGAATAATACAAAGCTACGTAACCACAACTTTTGTAAAACATGGTAGGGCCTATCGTATTTTCACACGATTTTTTTTTCTCCACTGAATATTTTGGCCGGTACCATGAATGAATCCAACCGGGTAAAAGTACCGGGTACCGGCAGATTTTGAAAGGCCTGCATATACATGTAATTTGAAATAAATCTGTAGATCATCTTTTTGTTCACACATTTTAAAGAACATCCCCTAATTAAATGTTCTGGTAGATTTTTGTCTCTCCTTCAGATTTCATAATTTCTGAACTTCTTCAAGATATCTGATGGAGGATCTCTCTCCCACTGGACTTTCTGATCTACAAAAAAGAAAATTCGACTCATTGAAATGTTTTCGCTTGTAACTGAAACAGGCAGAAGTTAAACATTTAAGCACAATTTCATCAAAATTATGCACAAGTTGACTAGAAGATAGTGAATACATGTAACATTAGATTAGAGGTATCTGAGATGGTGACCATCTAGCTTCAATAATGTAGCCCTCTCCCTTTTTTTTTTGAGAGAGAGAGAAAACATCAGATTAAACAATTGGAGAGGGCTAAATTATTGCAGCTAGTAACCATTCCAAAGGGCATTGCTTTTAACAAAAGACATTAGGAAGAAAGGGACTAGTAAAAGAGTGTTTTGAATTTGACCTTTACCTTTGACTTACATACACCTTTACTCATGAGAACTCTTTGGGAGAGGTATGAATCAGATGGGGTCTTTGAGAGAAAATATGCTCATGATAAGCTTTCATAAAGAGATCTGCTCTTGACCATTACCTTTGAACTGGAAGCTACAAAACTTGTTCAAGGTCACTGCACTCTCTTAATCTATGTGCACCCCTTGGGTGAAGCTGGATAGGGCTAATAGAAAAGAAAATATGCTATGGACAAAGATTTCAGTCAATTTTGTCTACCTTTACCTTTGATCAAGAGATCTGGTTCAAGATCAATACATATCCTCTATACTCGGTTGGTGAAGTACATGATCCAGATAAATCTAAGGGGAAAAATAAACTCATGCCAGTGATTTAACAGAAAGATCTGTTTGACCTTGACCAGATACCTTAAAACTTTGTTCAAGGTCTTTGCATATCCTTACTCCCTGTTACTCTAAACTAGTTAAGTTTAAGCCAGATAGGGTCGTGGAGGAGAAAATACCCTCTGGACAAGAATATTAATAGTTTGCAAACCATAAGCTTGGTCCGAAGAGAGAGAAAAAAATGCTACTGACAAGGTTTTAAATGGAGGTGTTTGATCTTAACTTCAACCAAGACCGTTTGACCAAAGCATCTGTGTTGGTGAGATGTTAACCTGATACAACCAAGGAAAGAATGCTGCTGATATTGGTTCCAGAAATCTGTATTGAACTTGACCTGTGACTTAAAAGCCTTTTTTCAAGGTCAATGCACATCTTTAACCCAGGGGTGAAGTATGGGCCAGTCAGGGACAAAGAGAGAGAAAATATGCTCTGGACGGAGATTTTATATGACCTTGACCTTTAATCTAGAAAATGGTTAAATGTCACAGTACACACTTTTTGTTGGACATTCAGTAAGTGAAGTATCAGCCAGACTGAGGGAAGCTTGACCATTATACTGGTAATTCAAAAATTTTAAAGCCATGCATTGTAAAAGCACTTTAATGTTGAGATAAAGAATGGGGAGTAGTATAGATACTTACTGCTGTATACTGCAGCATGTGAGATGGGCTCATTAACTTTGAATGGTGATGAGTCAAAATCATCCTCAGAAGATGGTTGTACACTAGTTGATGTCATGTGTTCCTGTGATTGTATTGTAGGCTGAGGTTTGACTGATGCCCAGTGTAATGTCTACAAACAATCCAGCTTTATGAGAAGAATAAAAACCTGTGTATTTTCCCTTTTAACTGTATCAAAAGTCTATTATTATATACATGTGCATTTCACTTCACAAAAATAATTTTTTTTTAATTTTATATTTTAGAATAGAATTCTAAGGAAAAAAAGATTAAAAAATTAAATCCCTATAAAATTTGTCAAGTATTGAATCAGTCAATCTTAACAAATTAATTCATTATACATGCCCAAGTGAACTTTTTCTGTAAAACTTACTGTCTTTGTTGCATCACGCAGTGCCTGCCACTTTTCAAATGGCACAGTGATTCCAGAGTTATTCCAAGTGTCATAAGCTTGTCTTTTCTCAGGATCGGTCAAAACATCTTTTGCTTGAGCCAGGCGTGCAAACTTTTGGGCTTGAACAAAAATTAACTGTTTTAGTTTTGATGATACATTAGAATTATTCAATTGTAGTGCAAAAGAACCATAGCTTTTAAGTTAATATTAATTTGTATAGATTCTAACCTGCTTGTGGATCATCTGGATTCTTGTCTGGGTGGAGCTCTAAAACTCTTGCTTTGTATTCCGTCAGGATTTGTTCAGTCTATTAAAACAATACATTTTTAAGACCTTTAATAACTGATTCTGTCTGGGTTCTTTTACTGTAAACTTATTTTATCATGTTTTAATTAATTTAAAAAACAAATTTATGTCCAATATTCATTGATTGTTAAAATTTCATAATCGTATTTTCATGAGTGAACATCTCATTTTTCTTGACACTTTATACTTTAAACTACATTGATACTTACTGTAGAATGTTCACTACATCCAAGAATATAATAAAAATCGTCTTCTTTATTCCTCTCAAAATCAAAAACATTCTCCATTCCTACTTTCACTTTCACATAGGAGTAGTCATTGACTGTTTTGATCAAGATGTTTTATTATGCCCCATGCGTGAAAAAAAACTTTCTTATAAATAATATTGAAATATATATAATATATCTAAGTAGAAATGAGTCACATGAGAAAGGAAAATAGTAGCATTTTTTTTCGGGTTGTTGTCTTGTGGATTATAATTCTTAAAATAATACATGCTCCCCATGCGCAGCGCATCTTTGAGTACTTTGCAATGGCGGAAGATGTGAAAGATGAAGTGGTTGAAATTCCAACAAAAAGGTTAAAACTTGACACGGAAGAAAATGATTGTAATCTTGAACAAGCTTGTTCTTCTAACAATAATTGTGCTATCGATAAACCGACAGGGAATGAGGATATGCCATCAACTTCAAGTGGTAAAGTTTCTCAAAAGTTATTCTCTCCCTTTGTCACGTTTCTTTTGAGAAAATGAAAGTAGAAATGTAAACAAACATAGTATTATTTTTATTTTATTTCAGAGAGTGGATCTCATAAAGTAATCGAGCCAGTGGAGGTAATGATTTAAAAATATATTCTACAAGTAATGTGTCGATATTATTATTATTGTAAATTTAAACACTGATCTTTTATGAATTCAAGTTACCAGACTGCCGTGAAGAGGGTGATAAAACTAATGATGAGGACTCTGACAGTGATATAAGTGATATATCAGGCTTGAGT